CGCACCTGCCGGTGGGCTCCCCAGACGCCCTCATTCATTCCAAGGCAGAGAGCTGCCTTCCCCACTTTTTGTTTTTAATGTATTTTTATTGCTTTCAGAGAGGAAGGGAGAGGGAGAAATAGAAACATCAATGATGAGGGAGAATCAATGATTAGCTGCCTCCTGCACGCCCCACACTGGGGATCGAGCCCGAAACCTGGGCATGTTCCCCGACTGGGAATCGAATCGCGACCTCTAGTCCATAGGTCGACACTCAACCACTGAGCCACACCGGCCAGGCCCCACTTTTTTCTAGATCAGGAGATAGTTACTTTCTTGGAGAGGGCATCATTTACTTTCTGATTGAAAGGTCCCTATAAAGTGAGCAATCTGTTCTCTACTCACCAGCTCAGAACACTGCGTGCCTTCAGGCAGCCAGTCCTGCAGTCTGGCATCTGCACTGAAGGAACATGAGATGAAAGACAGACAGTCTTCCAGGAGTCAGGAGCTGTGAGGAGCATGGGGCTTGTAAAATGGGGCCTGGAGACAGAAGAGCTAAGTGCAGGCCAGAGGAGGACCGTGGCATGGGGGTGGTCTCAGGGCCCAGCGTGAAGAAAGGAGAGTGTGAGACCCTAATGGCAGACGAGTTCCCTGGCAGATTGCTGTCAGCTTCCTCGTGGCCCCTTCAGGCATCCTGTGTCTGTCACCCTCAACCTGGTGCTCAGCACCCTTGGGTCCAGCTGTGCAGTTTAACCCTTTCCCAGGCCCTGGCCCTTGGCCCTTGGCCCACAGCTTGGCACTGTGTCCCAGTGGGTGCCTGGAGGCCCATGCACTGACCTCATGCAAAGTCTTGGGCAAGGGCATTTCCCTGTGGGCAAGAGAGGGTGCTGTCACTTGTCCTGGTGACCATGCCACACTTCTGCTCACTCTGAGCTATGGCTAGCGAAGCCCAGGCTGCCCTCATGTGCTGCTGGGATTTCTGTCTGTGTGGCTTTCACATCTGCACTTACCCTTCTTCACCTTTGTCTTGTTGGTTTGGCTCAGTGTCCTGTCCTGTGAAGGTCACTGTAAGTCTGGTTTATAATTTGATCTCTTAAGTGTCTCCAATGGTGGTGTGAGTCAGACGGGGCAGGCCAGGCAGAGAGCTGCCCCCAGGCCTTGAGCTGCCTCCGGCTGCCCTCACCTATGGGGTGTAGGGCAGACAGTGGCTCACTCCCTTCATCACACCAGGCTGTTGTGACAAGCAAAATGAAAGACCTGCCAACAAAGGTCATTTAACAGAAGCATGTAGGAAGCTGCTCATGTCTGATCTTTCCGGTTTTGCAGCCTTCCTAAGATTAAGGGGGCGCCGGGGGAGGGGCCGGCGGTGGTGGTGAAGCCCTCTGGCGGTCCTCTGGGTCCTGAAGATGTGACGTTCCTGCAGTCGGGCCATCTGACTGCGCCCTTCCTCTCTTGCATTTTAGGATTTCTAGTTTGTAGGTCATACTTCTTCATGTATGTGTTGAAAGCAAATAAGAATTGTTCTGTTCTATTGTTTTTTTAAAAATGACTTTTCCTGCCCTAACCAGTTTGGCTCAGTGGATAGAGCGTCGGCCTGTGGACTGAAAGGTCCTAGGTTCGATTCTGGTCAAGGGCATGTACCTGGGTTGTGGACACATCCCCAGTAGGAGATGTGCAGGAGGCAGCTGATGGATGTTTCTCTCTCATCGATGTTTCTAACTCTCTATCCCTCTCCCTTCCTCTCTGTAAAAAATCAATAAAATATATATTTTAAAAAATGACTTTTCCCAACTCCTGGGCCACTCCCTTCTTTCATTTTTTCCTGAATCTAGTTGAAAGAGTCTTAACCCTTTGTTGCCTCTAGATTTTTTTAAGTAACTAATTCTGTATTTGAGATTTTTAATTCTATCCATACAGGTTGATACAGTAGATGTGACTTCTTTCTTGGTAAGAACTCATTAGAGACTCTGCATGTGGCTCCCGTCTGTTTGCACCTGCAGTTGAATGATTAGAATTTGTTATTTCCCAACTGTGTTTCCTTTGGTGGTTTCCAGTCCCAGCCTTGTTCGAGGTCTGCCCAGCTAGGCCTGGTCTCCCAAGGTGGCATGGCTCCCCAGCCTCCTCCTCAGTCAGAACTCAGGGCAGCAGTGGCCCCGTGTATCAGTGAGGGAAGGAAGGTTTCGGTGTGTGCAGCAGAGGAACGACTGCAGCGCCGGCTGCCCCGCCTCCACACGGCAGCCACTGGTGCACCTGCTCCATAACCCTCGTGTGGCCTGGGAGCACTGGGGCCTTGCTAGCTCCTCCAAGACTCACTGTCACCCATGCAGGGTTTGTCATTACAAATCGTTCTGCTTCTCCTCTGGCTGTCACACCAGCCATCGCTTCAGGGACCGTCGAGTCTCCTCTGTTTCAGCCCCTGAGTGTCCTTCCCTGCCTGTCACGTGGACGTGTAGCTCCACTGTCCCCTCCCCACCTCACGGTCTGTCTGCGCCGGCGTCAGCTATGCAGTAGTGGTGGGTCCAGATGGGGCTGCCAGCCTGGGAAGGAACTGGTCCTCCCTTCTGGCCTCGATGGGGTGGGCTCCACTCAGCGAGATGTCTCGTCTCTCTGTTTTGTCTGAGGCTGTCCACCCAGCACCATGTCCCACCCCCGTCTCCCAACCCCACTGTGGGCCTGTGGTGCGTTACTCTGTGGGTCACCTGGTGTTGACCTGGCCAGGTGTTGTCACAGATGCTCCGAGAGGCCACCCAGGTTGGGGCTGGCAGGGCAACTGCAAAAAGCAGCCTCACTGAGAAGCACCTGAGCCATCGGACACCCAGGGCAGCGCCTCGAGGGTGTCATTCCTCTGCAGCTGTTTGTCAGGCTCCCTTTCCCTTAACTGTTGCCTGGCCTTTGACTCCTGGGGGGCTTCGGGAGGCCTGGTTCTGGGTCATCATCCAGAAGGCTAGGCTGCCCTGAGACAGCGAGGCTGCAGCCTGAGACACCAGTGAGGGTGCCCGCAAGCCACGGGCCAGCCTCCCCTGGGTGTTTGCCTGAGGCCCTAAACCTTTGATTCCACCCACAGGTTCACTCTCTCTGGCTTCAGGGGGCAGGTCTCCTTTTTAATATATTGGTTTTTATAGTCTTTTATTTGTATTCAATATCAGCTATTGCTTCCTCTTCAGTTCCAGAAAATCCTATATAATAAAACCCTAGTATGCAAATTGACCAAACAGCATAAAGACCGGTCACTTTGACGCGCACAGGGGGAGCGCCGCTCAGCCAGAAGTCAGGCTCAGAGCCTCTCCCGCCTCCACTGCGGGAGGGAGGTAAGGAGCAAGAGGTCCTGGACTGCGAGAGGGCACAGGCCGGGCTGAGGGGTCCCCGCCCCCACCAGTGCACGAAGTTTCTAGACCTCTAGTATAGAATGTTAGGAAAAAGAAACCAGGAAGCACCCAGTATTTTCACACTAAGAAAGTAATTTTTGTTAACACTCTGGTGCACTTCCCTCCATTATATGGTTTTATTGGGTGCTTAAGAATCCTTTGGCCTGCCCAGTGTGGCTCAGTGAGCATCGACCCATGGACCAAGATGTCACTGGTTTGATTCCCAGTCAGGGCACATGCCTGGGTTGTGGGTTTGATCCCCAGTAGGGGGAGTGTAGGAGGTAGCTGATGATTCTCTTTCTCTCTCCCTCTCCCTTCCTTTCTCTAAAAAAAAAAAAAAAAAAAAAAAAAAAAAATATATTTTTAAAAGAGAATCCTTTGTTTCCGTTTTCCTGCCTTTCCACTCAACCTTGCAGCCTAACTATGTACCCTTCACGCACGTCTCCGGGGCTGCAGAGCACTCGGGCAGCCAGTGCGGGCAGGCATTTGTGAGGCTGTGCTTTTAGAGCTATTCTGAGCCTTGCTTTGCTGGGCATCCTGGTGTTTCGATGACTTGCTGTTCTCAGAATGGATCGAGGCACCTCTGCCAGGCCCACCGTCCTCCCCCATCACCCCTGGGACCGTCGCAGCACGGAAAGCTTCCTGCTTCTTTTATAAATGACAAGTTGTACCCTTAACTCTGTGTTTTTTGAGGTTGTTTATATGTGTCATTCCTGCACGCAGTGACTTTTTTAGTTTTTTGAAATCACTGATTCTCATCTGGGGTGCCAAGGTGTAAGTGAGTGTGCCTCACTCCCTGTCCTGCTGGGGGCAGAGCTACCCGGCCCAGACCATCTTCTTAATCTCACCCCTCTCTTAACTTTCTTGGCATCGTGTCCTAGACATCGAGAAGAAGGCACATTTCAGACACCTGCGTTCCCATGTCTGTTTAGAGAAAAAGGAGTTTTCTTCACAGCTGGTTAGACCTGGTGCAGTGGCAGCCCTGGCGCTCACTGGGGCAGCAGTGCCCACTCCCCCCTGGGCACCTCCCCGAGGTCAGCCGAGGCAGCCTGCCCATCAGCCATGGTAGTCCTAGGACTAGGTGTCTTTCTGCCAACGAGGGCCGGTGAGGTTGATTTCTCACCTTTCTCTGCCATCCATCTGAATGGGTATTTCTGGCTCCATAGCTGGCCTCTTGGCATGACCTGTGGCCACTGGCCCTCACAGCCTGGCCCTCATAGGGCAGCAGTGCTGGCCTTGCAGAACAGGTGCACATTGAGTGCGGTTGTTTGAGAGGACTGGCCCTCAGGAGGACACTGTAGTTCCCTAGGGTGGGCTGGTAACATTGAGATCGTTTTCCATTTTATTTAGAATCAGCAACACTTTTATATGAGTAGTAAAGTCTTTTGTACATTCTTATTTCCTTAAGTTAAATTCCTGGGAGTGGGCTGGCTTGATCAGGAGGCACAGGTATTCCTGGTTGCCCTGTGGCCCCAGTGTGTCCTCTGGTGGGGGCACTGGGTGTTCAGGCCAGTGGGCTGCCTATGAGGTTGCCACCTCCAAGCTTCAGAGGACAGCCCCCAAGCTGCCCAACCCCTCCTGCACACCCTGCCCCTCCCTCCCCTCCTCCCCCAGCTGTGGGCGGCACTAATCACCCTTTGCTTTCTTTTCCAATAGCGTTGTGTGGTACTGCGTTTTCTGAAGTTTCCTCCCAATAGGAAGAAGGTAAGATCTGTTGAGTTTGCTACCCAATCATTAAGACAATTACTTAGGAACACTTAGATTTTATTTCTGATGTAGAAGTATTAATGCTCATTATAGAAATTTAAATATGACACAGCATTCAGTACAGAACGTGGTGTGTCTGATTCCTGCAGGACCCAGTGCTTGGTGGGGTCACTGTGGGGAGTCCTTGGGTGCTGAGCTAGGAATCGCCCGTTCAAGGCAGAGAGCCCTGTGGTTGGTGGGGACCCCGAGGGCCAGGTCTCAGCTTGGCGTTTCCCCTTCTGTGAACATGAAGTCTGGGATGCTGGCAGGTAGGCGGCATTGCAAGTCCCAACAGGCAGTTCAGATGGAGCCTTGGTTTCTATTTGCTGAGTCACCCAAGCCCAGGACTGTGGACACCCTCAGAGCTGTTGCTGCTCTGTAGCCTCGCTGACCTCTGGGAGGCAGTGACCCTGGAGGTGGGGTGTTGCTGTGGTATTCATCCAAATTTCAGTGGGTGCAGGGCTCAGTAAGGGAGCCCTTCCTCTTTGTGGCCCTAGGGCAGTGGTCGGCAAACTGCGGCTCGCGAGCCACATGTGGCTCTTTGGCCCCTTGAGTGTGGCTCTTCCACAAAATACCAACTTCTGCGCATGGGCCACGAAGTTTCAATCGCACTGTACGTGCGCGCCCACACGTGGTATTTTATGGAAGAGCCACACTCAAGGGGCCAAAGAGCCGCATGTGGCTCGCGAGCCGCAGTTTGCCGACCACTGCCCTAGGGGAAGGGAGGGAGGCACAGGAGCTGGTGTGAGCCCTGCTCCAAAGCAAAGGCAGGAGCTGTGGGCACAGCCCTCACAGTGGGGACGGGCGGGGGTGGGTGGGTGGGGAGTGGAAATCGGGCAGGACGGCCATTGTGTTTCTGTGGAATCCAAGTGGGGACCAGAGCCATCTGGGAGGCTGCCTCTAGCCCCCTTTCTCCACTCAGCATCTGCTGAGCCCAGACTCCAGCTCTGGTCAGCTTTTCCCGTTTCAATTTATTGAGGCAACAAACAATTTGCCTTTACTTATTATGTCAGTGGCGTTACCAGTGGGAATCCTGTGGTCATGCTGTCAACAAGAGGAGCTTTTTGTCAGGAGCCCTGGGCCAAGCTGTGTGGAGCCACTGGGTGTGCTCTGGGCTTTTCTGTTGGGTTTCATTCTCACACTTCACATTGCACGCGCCCTGGGATGCAGGCTGGGTCTGCGGGTGCGACAGGGCAGATGGCAGCCCAGCCCAGGACTTCCCTGGAGCTCAAGCCCCGTGTCAGCACCGCCTGGACTGCCCTTGAGGACAGCTCTCTCATTCCTTAGACCTGGGATGGACTCTTTGGAGTTCTCGCCTCCACCAGGGGGAGGGACAAAGGGCTGATTTCCTGTCTCACCCAAATCTCATAGCTTATTGGCTCCTTAAGAACATCTAACTTGGGAGAAAATATTTTATTCTCTATTTAGAGGCTGAAGAATAAAATACAGATATGTAGTGATTTTTGGACAGGAGAGATTTTCAAAGTCGATTCCTCGGAAGCGTGCATGAGCTGCTGGTGGAATCCACTGGTGTTCCTGGCACAGGTGTGGGTCACGTGCGGCCCTGGATAGAAGGCAGAGGTGGGCCTGGGAGCTGAGGGGACAGAAGCTCCAGTGGGTCTGGCGGTGTCCTTGGCGAGGCTCACCTTCCTCCGCATCCACGACCACCATCTCCTGTTTGTGGCCGCAGACGGGGCGCCCTGTGTGTAACCCTCCGTCCTCACGCTAGGTCAGTAAGGCCTTCCTGTGCTTCTTTGTTGCAGGCCTCGGAAGAAGTATTCCAGCACCTACAAAACATAGTGGACTTTGGCAAAAATGTCATGAAAGAGTTTTTGGGGGAGAACTATGTTCATTGTGGGGTAAGTGGTTTCATTTATGGAGTCCAAGTTCATGGGCAAGATCTGTCTCAATAATACCAGCTTTTCAATTACAGTTTGGAACTCCGAGCTTGATAGTTCCTCATGTTAGAATTTCCAAGTGGTTTGTTTTTCCCGTTTGCTGTGTTGTGAGGTAGCAGAGCAGGTAGTATTATTCCCATTTTCCAGCTGAAAAGCCTGCCGTTCAGAGAGACCACGTGATACCTGTGAGGGTGCCTGTCACAGAGTCTGTAGTTTGGACGCTTGGGGAGGAGACAGTGTAGGCAGCCACAGTGGCTTTGGTCCATGCCTGGGACAGCTGTCTTAGTATCTGTTGGCCTTGCTGCCTGTTTTAGATCAGGGCACTGAACAGACTAACTGTTAGTCACTAACAGGTTTGTCACTTTGCACACAGAGAGCACTGCTCCGTTTTGCAGATCCTATGCTTGCATCTGTCCTAGGAAAAATGATAACGAGGAGGTTAAGGGCACCTGTGAAGCTGAAGGGATGCCAGGCAAAGTAGGTTTTAAATGACTCTGACAGCAAAGCATCCTCCAAGAAGGTCCTTTGACAAGCTTAGGATGTATGGAGGTGGCTGCAGGTGTCCCTCAGGCTGCAGCCTTGACTGAAGGCATCAGACCCTTTCCAAGGTGGCCCAGCCATGGAGCTGGCAGGGTGGTGTGGCTTTTGGCTGGGGTTCTCAGAACCTCCCCACATGGATTTACTGCAGGGCTCTGAGGGTCCTTGAGACTCAGCCCGGGCTCCCCCCCACTTGATCTGAGAGATGACCTGGCCCCAAGTTGTGTCTGTCCCTTCCACAGTATCCTGCGGCCTTGCAGGTCAGCCCACGCAGAGTGGAAGGCCTGCAGGGAGCTGCAGGCTGTGCGTGGAGTCGCAGGGAGCGGGCGCACCTGGCCCCTGTGGAGCCTCTCTCTGTATCACAGCGCTGAGGCTCCAGACCTTTCCCCTGGCAGGGCCAGTGAAGAGGGTGGTGGGAGGTGAGGGCAGCCGAGAGCAGCCGGGTAAGTGGGAGCAGTGTGAGGGTGTCCCCTGGCTCAGGGCACACATGCTCTGCCAGCCACAGTGGATGGGTCCCTGGGTGCGTGCGGTGAGGCCACAGTTCGCTTCCTGGGAACATGCATTCTGTTGACACCTCCACATGGAGACAGCACCTGAGTGAACACAGCTTGTCTTGCCCCCAGGCAGACGTGATGTCCCCAGGGGACCACCACTCAGGCCTGGCCCCACTGGATGGTGGCATCCAGAGCACAACTCTGATCCGCACACGGCCAACAGGCAGAGTCAGCTTGTGTGGATGCCGCCTGATGGGAAGTGGGCCAGATGCAGTCGGGTGAGCGTTTCCCTCCTCTGTATCCTGGGACAGATACAACCAGCCCCGTGGTGAGAGCACGAGGCCCAACAGCACCCACCTCGTGCCTGCGCTGCCTTCGGGCCTGCCCAGCTGGTTTGGGGACTGGTCTGGGCTGGTTTCCGTGTGAACTGGCGGTTAGCCAGTGGGGACGAGGCTGTCCCTTTATGCCTACAGATGTCTGCATCTTAAATCCTTGGGGTAGTGGAGACCCTGGTGAATTTTAGAAGTTTAGCCTCGCTTTTGTGGGCCTCAGCCACCAAGTTTGGGTGCCCCTGGGCGGCCTGGACTTCACCTTTACCCTGACACGATGGGGGCATGGGCCAGGCCGGCACGTGTGGTGAGTGAGGGTGCCGTTCTCCTGAGGGAGCTCCTGGGAGACTTTGAACGAGCTGCTCCCCGTTGGCCTCCAGTCTGGGCAGCCCTTCTCCTCTGCAGCCTCCCAACATCCCTTTGAGGGCAATGCCTGTCATCAGGGAAGCCGGTGTGGCCACATCTTCCAGGTACACTTCCTGGGAGGGTTCTGTGCTCTTCCAGTTTCCCTAAGTTAATACCACGTGCCCTGCTGATGCCCACTGCCCCCCAGGGCTCTGTGGCACCATCTGTCTGTCTGGCAGGTGATGGCACAGTTCACAGGGTCATGAGTCTGAAGCAAGGGTTGGTCAATGTAACCAAATGCTAGGAAGGGTGCCTACTACCAACATTTTATTCTGACTTAAAACACAAATAGAACTCATTATAAAATCAGGAATTTAAAGTTGCTTAAAGAAATAAATTCTACTTTTTACCTTGGTGACTATGAACTTAGGCGGGGGAGTCAGACGCGTTTCAAGAGTAGCTGAGCCACTTTGAGCTCCGGACTCGACCCCCTCGGTCCTCTGCACGTGTCTGTCACTTGATGATTCCAGCAGGGCCTGCCTGCCTGCCTTTCCCAGCCGAGGCATCAGGACACCTGCGCAGGCCTGAGCTGCTGTGCTGGCCCTGCCCCCAGCCTTGCCCCAGGGTGCGGGGCTGAGGTGTTTCTCTGAGGGTGGGTCTGGAGGCAGTTCTTTTTTTTTTAATTTTTTTAAATTTTTATTGATTTCAGAGAGGAAGGGAGAAGATATAGATAGAAACATCAATAATGAGAGAGAATCATTGATCAGCTGCCCGCTGCACGCCCCCTACTGGGGATCGAGCCCACAACCCAGGCATGTGCCCTTGACAGGAATCGAACCTGGGACCCTTCATTCCCCAGGCCGACGCTCTATCCACTGAGCCAAACCAGCTAGGGCTGGAGACAGTTCTTTATCTTTCCTGCACAATGTCTGCTCACCTCCTACCTTTGGTTTGTTTAAAGTGGAGTAAGACCTTGGGCTTTTGTGAATGTCTAAGTTTTGAATTTTCAAATGTTTATAATTTCCCCTTTTCCATTGTTTCACCTTACCTAATTCAGAACTAAATTGTTAGCAACTCACCTTTTATCAGTTTATAGCATGTGTAGGTAAATGACAAAATTCATGAGGTCAGCTCACACAGCAGGCTAGGAAGTGGACGGTTGAAGCCAGGCCCACTGCAGGAGCACGTGGGAGGCCCAGGCAGGCCTCAGCATTCACATCCTAGGCTGCTCTCCTGTGTCCTGTGGGGCTTCTCCAGAGCATCAGGAGATGGTGAGCAGCACCAGGCAGCATCAGGAGATGGTGAGCAGCACCAGGCAGCATCAGGAGATGGAGAGCAGCACCCGGCAGCATTAGGACGATGGTGAGCAGCACCAGGCAGCATCAGGAGATGGTGAGCAGCACCAGGCAGCATTAGGACGATGGTGAGCAGCATGAATTAAGACTCCTTCTTCAAGAAATTGCAAGGAGCAGCAACGTGGAGAGAAATTGCTCTTTGTTTTTTGCCCAGATGCACAGCCTGCTGGGCCCTGAGTCCCGTGGCGGAGGGCCCTCAGGGGTCTCACCTGAGATTAGTATTCCATCAGACCCTTTTCCTTGAGCTGCTCCTCGGGGGAGTGGGAGAGGCTCAGGGTGTCTGCGGAGACAGCTGCTGGGAGCGTTTGTGCCGGCAGTGAGGCCCTCCAGCCCTGCTTTGCCGCATGGACACCACGAGGAGAGGCCAGGGCTTGTGAGGACACTGACTGGGTGATGGGCCGCTGCTGGTCACCACCTGGCACCAGCCACTCAGCAGGGCTGCCGCTCCCAGGGCTTCTGTTGAATCAGGACATGGCCTTCAAGTAACAGAGCAGCCGTTCTTCCTGAGGCCCACACACTAGTCCTGAGGATGTTTTGATGTGCTGAATACACGTCCCATAAATGTGCGTCTGCCCCACTGTCAGTGTGCGGCTCCGCGGCATCCAGTGTGTTCAGTGCCGTGTGGCTCATGCTGCTGTCTGTCCTTACAGGAGGTGGTCCAGCTGCCTTTAGACTTTGTGAAGCAGCTTTGCTTAAAGATACAGTCCGAACGACCAGGTAAGGGTTTCTCACTTACACATTTCCTTTGTCATTTAAGATGCCCGATGTGAAGTGTGTGACATTTTTCCTCATGTTAGGTAGATGCAGCTTTCAGCAGTTCTTTTGCCAGAAACTTGATCATCAGGGTAGCGACCCCAGGAGCTTACGAAGACAATTCTGTCATCAGATCCCCAGGCCACTGCAGAAAATGTATGACCAGGGACTAATTAATACTAAGAAACATGCAGTTGGGAGCGCGAGGGAGCCGAGGGAGTTAGGGGAGACTCAGGGAAGGGAAGGGAGGCTGCAGGGAGGCTGGAGGAGTCAAAAGGAAACCAGGTAGACCTACACTGCAAAGGAGGGCCAGGCCCACAGTCTGCAGCCGGAGGACCTGCCCCCAGAGCTGGAGCCCACCCAGCCTGCTTGTCCTCCTGGGGGACCAGGAGACGTGAGTTCTGTGGGCAGTACCTGCCCCATTACCTCACATGCCTCCCCCATCACCTCCCGTACCTGCCCCATCACCTCCCGTACCTGCCCCATCACCTCTCATGCCTGCCCCCATCACCTCTCATGCCTCCCCCATCACCTCCCGTACCTGCCCCATCACCTCCCGTACTTTCTTGAACTTAGTCATGGCTTAGTGACAGAAGCCATGTCAAAGCCTTGCCTTTCAGGGTCAGAGACAAAGAGGTAAAGCCCCTGTGATTGAGACGGACATGCCTCCGCCCAAAACACAGCCAGGCAGCCACGGTGTGCAGTGGCCGGTGGAGAAGTCTCCCTTGTTTGACAGGAGCAGGCAAGCCCCCAGGGCACCGTGCCTGGAGCCCCTGGTGGAGGAGGCCTAGAGGAGTGGGCTCCGTGTGGAAAGGGCTGAGGGAGGAAGGAGGTCATAGCCACGTTGAAAGCCAGGACAGCGTCTTAGCTGTTTCCTCCTCTAGAGGAAGACAGCCTGAGACTTGCTCTAGGTTCTGCTGTGCAGCTGCAATGCTGCTCAGTACCATCATTTTATTTTAGAATTAGTAATTAAATGTATGCTACTTAACAGTGATAAGAACTGTGCCCCATTGTAGTGATGACTCGTCATCAGCCTTGTTCTGTGAAAGGGGAAAGGCCAGCCTCACGTGGGGTCTGGAGGTCACATGTGCCTCCGTGACTGCCCACAGCACAGCTTCCGCAGCCCCTCTGGGGAGCTGTGTGCGTGAGCCTCCCACGGAGCCCGCAGGAGAATGGAGAGGCTGCTGCGTCCTTCCTCTGAGGTCCTGGGTTAAGGGGCTCACAGAATTTGGGGGCAGTCCCCAAGGCCACCTCACTTCTGATGACAATTGAACATTTGGGGGTCCCTAAGACCAACCTCAGGATCTGATAATTTACTAGAAGGACCTATAGAACTCATTGTTATTGTCATGTTATGGCTGGTCGCAGCTCAGGGACATAGGTAAGACCAGCAGGATGAAGAGGCGCTGGGGGCAGGTCCAAGGACACAGCATGTGCTTCCAGGTGTCCTTCCCCCTGGAGTCGTGTGGGGTGCGCGTCCTGCTTGCAGCAGCAGTGTGTGACCACACGGAGGAGTGCCACGCACAGAGGCTGCCCAGTACGGAGGCTGCCCAGCTTGGTGGGAGGGTTTTTGGAGGGTTGGGCATTAGACACAGCTGACTAGCTGCCCTCAGCCTCCAGCTTTCTGGAGGTCGAGCTGATACAGTGAGACCCAATCCCCACCCTGAGTCACAGTTGTACTCCTGTGACTCAAAGGCCCCCGGCAGGCAGCACTTTCAGCTGGAGGCAGCTGCCCAGGAGCTGGAGGCCAGGGCTGACCTTTCCTCCACAGGAATTGGCCAAGTGGCTGCTGGAGCGCCTTGTATCCCTGGCACTGATCCTCAGGTATTTCCCCTCTGTCTTCTAGAATCTCGCTGTGACAAGGACCTGGACACTCTCAGTGGTTATGCTCTGTGCCTTCCCAATTTAGCCAGACTTCAGACGTACCATTTTGCCGAGCACCGGCCGATTCTGTGTGTAGAGATCAAGGTGAAGTTTTGTAAAGGGGAGTGGTGTGGGGAGAAGGGAAAGGTGGGTTCAAGTTGTGAGTCCAGGGCACCTGCCAGAGCATACCTTCCCACTGAAGCTCCTGCTGTCTCCACGGCCCCACAGCCCTTCTCAGGCCCAGCAACTCCTAGAGCAGTGGTTCTCCACCTTCTGGCCCTTTAAGTACAGTTCCTCATGTTGTGACCCAACCATAACATTATTTTCGTTGCTACTTCATAACTGTAATGTTGCTACTGTTATGAATCGTCATGTAAATATCTGATATGCAGGATGGTCTTAGGGACCCCTGTGAAAGGGTCGTTCGACTGCACAAGGGGTCGCGACCCACAGGTTGAGAACCACTGTCCTAGAGACTCCGTCTGCTTCCCGCTCCTTCCGTGGTGCCACCTGCTCTGGTTTCTCCCACCGGCCAGCCCAAGGGACATGGCTCCCCAGGCCCCCAGATTCAGGCCTGTTCCCAGGTGTTGCGAAGGAGAGACAGCGGGACAGGCCCTGGCCGACAGCCACCAGCAGAAGTGCTTTGGATTCCACCCTCCCATTTGCTTTGGAAGGTGCAGCTTGCTAGGCCCCCCTGACCACTCCCTCTGCCATGCCCTGTGGGCCCTGTGGTGACACTACATGCTGTGTTCCAGGGGGTCAGCTTGAGGGCTGCCCTTCAGACTGGAGGGCACTCTGTTCCTTTGCTTCTGTCGTGCTCATGTGAAACCTCCCTCGGTTTGTCGTGGCCAGGAGTCCTGAGCTGGGGACAAGGGGTGTGGCACGTCTATTGGAGGAAGTGATTGCCGGATAAGGGCCAGGCCCCTTGCTTCATTCTGCTGCCCAGTGTCCAGGGGGCTGCTCAGGTCTTCCTCAGGAAGCTTCCCGGATGTCCCAAGCCATTGTCTCCTTTTTCCAAACCTCTTTGGTGGTGATTTCCGGGTCACACCCTTGACCCTGAGCACACAACCCCTGTCCTTAGTGGGGACTGCAGACCTGCTTCCCCAGAGGGTGAGTGTCTTGGCCTCACAGAGACATGGCAGCTCTCCAGGGCCACGTGCTAAATGCAGGTCTTACATGTTGTACGTGCCCAGAAACCAGGGGTTTCAAAAGGCACCCGGGGTTCCAGACGTTTTGGGAGCCTAGCAACCATCAGATGGGCCCTTCCTGTTCATGACTTCTTGTCAGAGGTCCTGCTTCTTGGAGCTGGGAGCACTCCCAGCATCTTTCCAGTGTCGTTTGTCTTGAAAACACAAAGCGACTCTGTGTTGTGCTTTTCAGTCCAGCAACTGAGGACCAGTGAGAGTTCTGACTCAAGCAGCAAAGAGATGTTTAGATGATACGACAAGAGAAGCATCAGGGGCTAGAGAGAAAAGCAGCTTTGGGGACAGTTCTGTCCAACACGACTGCTGCTCCCAAAGTTGCCTTGTAGTTCTATGTCTGCTTAAAGCAGCGGTTCTCAACCTGTGGGTCGCGACCCCTTTGGGGGTCGAACAACCCTTTCACAGGGGTAGCCTAAGACCATCGGAAAACACATATATAATTATATATTGTTTTTGTAATTTAATTATGTTCAATTTGTAACAATGAAATTGGGGGGTCACCACAACATGAGGAATTGTATTAAAGGGTCGCGGCATTAGGAGGGTTGAGAACCACTGGCTTAAAGGTATGCGATTTCTCCCTAAGCAGATTTTCTTACTTATTTTGCAGCCAAAATGTGGGTTTATTCCTTCCTCCAGTGCCGTGACGCACGAGATGAAGCACAAGGTGTGCCGCTACTGTATGCACCAGCACCTCAAGGTGAGCACTAGCCAGCCCACCCGCCTGCAGTGCTGCTGGGAGGGCGCCAGCCTGCAGTGACCACCCAGAGTTTTCAAAAGAGTCAAAGAAATTGTAGATGCTTATTATTTACCTCACCTTTTTGTTGTTCATTTTAAATTGAGATAAAATTTTTTTGCCCTAAGATTCACCCTTTTAAAGTGTATAGATTGAGTATATTTTAGTATATTCACAAAGTTGTACAACCATCACCACTACCTAATTCCAGAACATTTTCATCACTTCAAAAAGAAATTCTGTCCCCAGGAGCAGTCCCTGTCCAGTCCCCTGTCCTGCCAACTCCTGTCAACCTCCTATGTGTCTGGATTTGCCTGTTCTGGACAGTCATACAATGTGTGCCTTTTGCAACTGTCTTTTCCCACTTAGTATAATTATATTGAGTCCATCCATATAGTAGCATGTATCAGCACTTCATTCCTCTTGTGGCTGATTAATATTCCATTGTCTGGGAACATTTTGTCCATCTACTCATCTGTTGATGAACATGTGACTTCTTTCCACCTTTTGGTTATTGTGAATAATGTTGCTATGAATATGCATGTACATGTGTTTCTTTGAATCCTGTTTTCAGTTTCCTTGGGCAGTGTGCCGAGTCGGCACGGCCATGCGTGAGCCTGAGCTCAGGCTCCTGTTCCCCATACTCAGCCCCACGTTTGGCGCCATATGTGCCACGCCAGCACAGACAGGTTCAGTGAGCCTGAGGGAGTGGTGAAGTATTGAGAAAAGACAGATAAGAGAAAAAAGCTGGGTCTGGGTGGGACAGTGTCCTCTCTGATGGAGAGCTAGCGACAGCACCACGGCCTGCAAGCAGAGTCTTTATTTTATAGCCACATTCCACAAGGCAAAGTAAGGGCGTGGTCAAGATGTTTACAACGTTCTTGCGGTTTCGATCTACCCAATTACATGCACCTGAACTCTGTCAAGCCCACATCACTCAGCCACAGTGGGACCACAGGTGCAGACCATAGGTTCAAGCTTACAAACTATAGTCTTTGGCTGTAATTGTGCTGGGACTTGCACATGGCTTTGCCACAAGAGGATTGTGCCCTCTCATTAGTCCCAGGCTTGAACCTGTTCAAACGCTGTAGCTGCTCTCCACAGGGTAGATTCCTTGGAGTGGAATTACCGGGTCTTAGGGAAGTTCTATGTTTAACCTTTTGAGAAAACACCACACTGTTTTCCCCAGCCGTTGCACTATGTGATATTCCCATCAGCAATGTATGAGTGTTCTAATTTCTCCACGTCCTTGCCAGCCCTGATTGTTCTTGTTTGTGGTGAGTGTGCAGTGGTAGCTCATTGTAGTTTTCATTTGTGTTTTTCTAACAGTGATGGTCAGCATCTTTTCATGTGCTTATTGTGTCATTTGACTATCTTCTTTGGAGAAATATCTATTCAAGTTCTTTGCCCATTTTGAATTGGGTTTTCCTGTTGTGGAGTTTACATGTTCTTTATGTATTATACTAGAGTCCCGATGCACAAAATTCACGCAAGGGGCTCAGCCCTCGCAGCACCAGCTTTGTCTGGAAGGTCGTCCAGAAGGACATCTGGAAGGACGTCTGGAAGGTTGTTCGGCTGTCCGGTCTAATTAGCATATTATGCTTTCATTATTATAGATGTGATTTGCAAATATTTTTTCCTCTTCTGTCGTTGCCTTTTACTCGTTTTTCTTTTTAATATTGTTTTTATTGATTTCAGAGAGGAAAGGAGAGGGAGAGATAGAAACATCAATGATGAGAATCATTGATCGGCTGCCTCCTGCACGCCCCCTACTGGGAACCGAGCCTGCAACCCGAGCATGTGCCCTTGACCAGAATCGAACCTGGGACCCATCAGCCCATAGGCTGATGCTCTATCCACTGAGCCAAAACGGCCAGTGCTACTCTGTTGATAGTATCCTTTGATGCACAAAGTTTAAAATTTGGTAAAGTCTATTTTGTCTACTTTTTCTTTTGTTGCCTGTGCTCTTGGTATCATATCTAAAAAATCATTGCCTAACCCAAGATCATGAAGCTTTTCTCCTATTTTCTTCTAAGAGTTTTATAGTTTTAGCTCTTATGATTAGGTCTTTGATCCATTATGCGTTAATTTTTGTGTGTTTTTTTTACTATGAGGGAGCATTTATTAAAGCTGAGGACAGTAAAACAAGAAAGGGCTTAGCATATGGTCAATGATTCTCTCTCATCTTTGATGTTTCTAGCTCTCCCCTTTCCTCTCTGAAATCAGTAAAAATATATTTTTTTAAAAAGGAGAAAGAAAGGACTTAGCATTGAAGCAGCAACAGGAGAGCCAGGCTGGGCTGCCTTAGGTCTCTGGGAAGGCAGAGAAAAGCGGGCCGTGCGAGCAGGTTCAGGGGTGAGCCTGGGATGAGGGCTGCTGCCCATTGCTCCCCAGGTTGCAAGCCTCGTGGGGTCCTTTAGATTTAGGAGATGCCTGCCTGTCGGGGAAGGAGAGGGGAGAGAAGAGGGAGAAGGGAGTGAGAGGGGCTGCTCCCCAGAGGAAGAGCACTTTGAGTTAATTTTTGTATATGGTGTTAGATAAGGATCCAACGTCATTCTTGTGCATGTGGATGTCCAGTTTTCCCAGCACCCTTTGTTGAAAAGACTGTTCTTTTTCCATTGAATGGACTTGGCACCCTTATTGAAGATCTTTTGGCCATATATGTGATAGATTATTTCTGGCTCTCTAGTCATTTTATTGGTTTATATGTCTGTCCTTATGCTGGTACCATTCTTTGATTGCTGTAGCTTTGTAGTAGGTTTTGAAATGAGGAAGTGTTAATCCTCTGGCTTTGTTCTTTTTCAAGATTGTTTGGGTTATTTGGTGCCCTTTACAATTACGTATGAATGTGAGGATTGGATTTTTTCTTTTTTCAAAACATGACTTGGAATTTTGATAGAAATGGCAGGAATCTGTGGATCACTTGGGTAATATTGCCATCTTAACCATTATAGTTTGCTAGCATTAAGTATATCCACATTGTTGTGCAGCCATCTCCAGACCTTTATTCATCCTGCAAAACTGAAACTATACCCATTAAACAGCCCCACATGTCCTCTTCTCACCCCTAGAACCGCCATTGCAGTTTTTACCTTTATGAATTTGACTGCTGTTGGCACCTCGTACGTGTGGAAGGAGACAGTGTTTGTCTTTGTGACGGGTTCACTTTAACTCAGCATAACGTCCTCCAGGTTCCTCGGTGCTGTGGCCTGTCTCAGAGTTCCCTTCCTTTTGGAGCTGAATAATCCACTGAACTTGGGCTGTTGTCAGTGATGCTGCTATGAATAAGAGTGTACAGATAGCTCTGGAGACCCTGCTTTCCGTTTTGTGAGTAAATACCCAGAAGTAAGAATTACTAGGTCATATGGTAAATCTGTTTTTAATGATGAGGAACCACACTCTGTGGTTCATAGAGCTGTTCCAGTTCACATTCCACCACAGCACGTTTCCCCACATCCTCACTATTTTAAAAAATATATATTTTATTGATTTTTTACAGAGAGGAAGGGAGAGGAATAGAGAGTTAGAAACATTGATGAGAGAGAAACATCGATCAGCTGCCTTCTGCACACTCCCTACTGGGGATGTGCCCACAACCAAGGTACATGCCTTTGACCGGAATTGAACCTGGGACCCTTGAGTCCGCAGGCCGACGCTCTATCCACTGAGCCAAACTGATTAGGGTGCTATTTTCTGTTTTTGATAATAGCCATCTTAATGAATGTGAGGTGAGAAATGCAATTGGTTTTTGCATATTGATATTTTTTAAGGAAAAGAGGCTTATTTCTTTTGTGCACAATGACAAGAGTGGTATCCACCATCTGTTCATCCTGTGCCCCCCATCCTGGCTGGTGCAGGGCACTGTCGTAGCTGGCATTTCCCCTCTTCCCTGTGAACAGCACAGCTGGTGGCAGATGCGATGTGCACAGCTCTTCTTAGACTGTAGCAGCTGCCCAAGTTCTGACAGAGAGCAGGGAGTGGAGTGAAGCTGGGTCTCAGGGGCATCATCTGAAAGAACGGAGATAGAATGCCAAGGCTAGTGAGCCCTCTGTGCGGCCAGTTTCTGACTCCCTCTTCTGAAGCCTTTCTGCTGTTCCCTTCCATTGGAGCAATTCCTGGTCCAACTCCCCCAAAGCCAAGGCAGAGGTTGGACTTTCTTCTGTTTGGCTTATTTACACTTAACACCTGGTCAGTCAGAAAAAAAATCAGTCTTGATCATCACTGGCCTGACAACCTTCTGTTGTATATTTTTTAGTGTTCAGTGGAAAATAGAAACAATTCAAAGTAGAAAAGTTTAATACAGGACATTAAGTGTATGCAGACTCATTGGAAAGCTGGAGTGAGCCATAGGTGTTTCTCCGGGAATGAGAACATCGGAGACCTGCTGCCTCAGGGAGGGGATGGAGAGCCTTGCAGAGCTGCATCCAGGGCAGGGAGGCCCCAGAGGCTCAGCTGCTCTGGAGCACCACAGAACTCAAGATGGGACCCTGGGAAGGAAAGCCCACCCAGAGTGAGAGCCTGCGGTGTGCTGTGCAATGACCTTTTATCCTGTCACCCTTTGGTGAACTTGTTTATTTGCTCTAACATTTTTTGATGGTTTCTTAGGATTTTCTGTATACATGGTCAGATCACTTGCAAATAGAGATAGTTCTGGTTCTTTCTTTCCAACCTGATGCTTTTTGTTTTTCTTCCCTAATTGTCCTGGTTAGAACTTGCAGTACAATATGGTGTAGAAGGAGCAAGAGTGGACACCCTATCTTCGGGGGGACACTTTCACTTTTCCACATTCTATGTAATGTTCACTGTGAGTTTGATATAGATGTTCATTTTGAGTGCTGCTTGAAAGGATGGTGAATTTTGTCAAGTACTTGTCCTATATTGAAATGATCATGAGGTGTTTTCTTCTGTTAACATAGTGAATTACATTGATTTTCATATGTTGAACCACTCTTTTATGTCTTGGA